TTGCTTACTGTGCTGCATGTTTTATGGGCCCACTTAGGATTTCCAGAACACCTGGGTGCAGCGAAAAGACAAATGTCCCCAAATGAACTGATTATGGTGAAGGTTACATGCTAGATTCAAAATTACACAGCACCTGCAGGTAACTGTTGATCTGTGCTCTAAAACCCACAGCCAGTTTGAAACTCAGGTGCATGGTTGTGTTGTAAGGATCAAAGGCAGCTTACACAGGACTGCCTGGCAGCCGAGCTCCCAGAGCAGGTGCTTGGACTGTTGACGGCTTCTCAAACCCCAGTAAACAACCGCACAATGATGGCCTTTCCTGGGAACTCACAACTCGATGCAGTTTGTGTGTCCTGTATTTTAAAGTTGTCTGGGGGGCTGGGACATGGCTCAGTGGTAGAATACTTGCTTAGCAAGCACAAGACCTTAGGTTCAAATGACAGAGAGCAGGGATGCGGTCCCTGGCTTCTCGGAGGTGGAAGGGGCTCCGTGACAAGAACGTGGGGTGGAACGGTTGTTTGCCCTCCCCCTCCTTTCCTGGGATGGGTCAGTTTGCATTTAGGAACTCAACTGCCTGCCACTGTGTTGACAGCGCCTGCTTGTCAGCAAGAGAACGGGAGCCTGAATGCATGTCAGGTAAGGGGCTTCTGAGGTCTCCTCTTGGACTAACATCTGCCTCATTCCAACCAGAGCTGACACTGAGACCCAGCAGCCGTTAGGAGCCAAGTGGAAGTTTCTGTCTTGTCCACCTGGCTAAGAATCCTAGCGATGTGGGCCACACAGATTGCCTGTCCTTGTCCCAGGCCTCTCCACCATGCTGCTAGTGCTTATCTTTCCTGGCTACCATCTAGGTACCAAGTAAGGGAGCAAGAAAGAAGCAAACAGCTCTTTCATTTCTCCTGCCAGCTCCCCTAAACTTTCACTCTGTGCGGGTACCAGGACCCCTCAGAGCTTAAAATCTTGGCATTAGTTTTGACTGTTCCCTCCCTTTAGCCCTTCAAAAGGAACAATTATCCAGACTTGTCACTTACACCCTTAAAATACCCTGGGATGGTTTCCTCTAATTAGTCATTCATTCTTTGTAAAGTGCTGGAGATCAAACCCAGGCCCTTCCACTGCCAGGCAAGTGCTCTACCTCCGAGCTAACCCTGGCCCTGCTCATCTCTGCTCTACTCCTCAGTTGTCTCCCAGATGGGCACCTGCACCCAAAACTCGGCCTGCTTTAGTAGCTCTGCACTACTGTTGCAGGGATTCCACTTTATATTCGTCTCTCTCTTGAGACACTAAGGGCTATGTTCTTACTTAATTTCCCACAATTCCCCATTGCCAGTCCTTCTGCACATACACATGCTTGCATGTGCACACACACATGCACGCATTTGTATGTCTTTGCCCCGTGTCCTGCACCATAACCCACCCTTACTCTGGTTGCCTCTTTTGCAGGCATGGTTGTGCTTTCTGATATGTCCTTGGTCTATATCAGTCCCCAGCGCTCTCCCCTTTTACCATTTCCAGGGGATGTTCTCTTTAGCACTGGACAAACTACACCTCTGCTCCAGGCCTGCCTTCTGGAATCCCTCTGGACTGAAAGTCTTATGGGGGTAACAAAAACAGAACTGATTGATGGTAAATCATAGCCCCTGAGGGCCCAGCTTACAAACACTGCTAACCAGAGTTGCAGTCCCTCAGCCTGCACTGTGCCCAGATGCGTGGTTTGTGGGGTGGGAGGAAAAGCATGCCTGAATCAGCTAAGACCACAAAGGGTAACCACAAGAACACCTGTCAAGACGGAGTATAAGGGAGTGACAGAAGGTCCCAGAGCTGAAAGTGGTGGCGGTAAGTGGTGCAGAGTGCAATTAGAGATGAGAGGACGTGCGAGCAGCAGACACGCTGCATCCAGGAAGAGATGTAACAGGAGACAGCAGCTCTGTGGTCTGTAGGGGTGGCATCTCCCCTGCTTCTACCCCTCCCTCCCTCCTTCCTATAGCTAATGAAGGCTGGGAAAAGCAATGGCTTCCAGGCCTGCCTTGTGGACCACCTCTATCTCCTATGTGACCATTTCTGCAATTATCTGCCAGGGGCTATGACTAAGGTGCCTTAGGGTACAAGTAAACAGGGTAAAGGTGCAAAGCAAGGCAGGTGTCAGGAGAGGCAGGTGGAGAGCAGAACCAGTAGCAGGGCACACCTCTCAGCGGAAGTCATCCTCTGTACCTCTTCTGCAGATACCATGTGGGCTTGTACTGGAGACAGCTGTGGTGCAGAGTGCCCCGTGTGCTGTGACCTCCGGGCTTCACAGGTGTGAGTGCTGGACATCACAGGACTGATGCTGAAGGTAGTGGGTAGGAGTGGCCCTTGTGTTGGTGAAGCCTTTTCAGATTGTGGGAACTCCTGTGATCTGGCAAGGCTGTCCTGTGTCTGGGAAGTGAATCAGGTGATGTGGCTCCCCAGTGGAAGCATGGTTAGTGACCAACCACCAATCACAGCAACTCCTGTGGCTGCAGAGGACTCAAGAGGGCTAATTCTGGAAGCTCTAGAAGAAGTGGCAGGGCCATGTTTTTTTAATGGTCATGGTGGCTCTTGCCTTAAGAATTATTCTACTATTACCATTCCTTTTACTTCTTATCTCTCATCTCCTCTCCTCTCCCTCCTTCCCCTATACCCCCCAACCTCAACCCCTCTCAAGATGGGGGTCTTGCTATGTTGCCCAGGCTGGTCTTGAACTCCTGGATTCAAGTGATTCTACCACTGTGGACTTTGGACATATACCACTGTGCCTGGCCTTGACTTGTTTTGCCTCCTGGCTTCTGCATTCTCTTGGTATGCAGCTTGTCTTACAGGTGGGTCCCTCAACATGTATGCATGCAGTTCCCCTGCTGGACAGAGCTCTCATGGCTATGGTTGGCCTATAGCTCTATGGATGATTGCTTTGGGTCAAGTGCTGAATGCCCAGGTCAACTTAGATTCAGTGAGAGACCCAGTCTCCTGGCACAAAGCATGGGAACCTGTTCGTAAAGAATTACTTGTGGTTACCCTCAGAAGGAGCTGAGCGTGGCAGATACTGGAGTATCATGTCTCATAATATATAGTACATTATATAATACTATAGTCAACTATATTGTAATATAGTAAGTTATATTCTATTCAGAATTCTCTAAGAAGGGAGGAAGATATCAACTAAAATAGGTACAGACAGCAAGTATAATCCTCAGAGATATGGAAAGTGGACCCACTCAAAATGGTCCTTTTTCTGTAAAAATTAGGGTCATATTTACCTGCAAGTAGCAATACCAATTAATAGTACCTTAAATATTTTCCTTACACAAGAAGTACAGAGGTGTGTGATTATTGGTACTGAGTTACAACTCTGTGCAAATTTGGGGAATTTTTATCTGTATTTAAAATTGAAACAGTTAACAGGGAACTAACAGGTAGGATGCAATAGCCTCCCTTTATCCACAAGACACATATTCCAAGACCCCACTGGGGACCTGAAACCACAGATAGTACCCTATATGGACTGGGCTTGACTCTACATGCACAGATCTATGGTAAAGTATAGATTATAAACTGAGGTGGTGTGGGGCATGGTGGGCAGTGAACAGGCTCAGAATAGCTGGCTGTGGTGGTGCACACCGGTAATGCCAGCACTCTGGGGGCCTCAGCAGGAGGGGCACAGGTTTGAGCCCCTCCCAGTGCCTTGGTGACTTGGCAGACTCTGTCTCAAAGAAATTAGGGGAGGGCCCTGGGTTCAATCCTCAGTCCTGAAGAAAATAAAGGCTCAGGACAGTAAAGCTGCAGGCTGGGTTAGGCATGAGGGTGTCAAGTCCACAAAGGCTGCACTGATCCTCCAAATGGGGCCCCAGAGCTGCAGAGGGGTGGGGTGGGGATGAGCTGAGGGCTTCCAGGAAGCTGTCCTGTGGCTCTTCACTGCAACACTCAGGTAATGACCTGGGTGTCACCCAGCCCAGCTCAGCTCTCTCCCCTCCCCTTCCTCCCTTTCTCTTATCTCCCCTCCCCTCCCTTCCTCTCCTATTTCCCCCCTTCCCTTCCCTTCCCTTCCCCTCCCCTCCCTTCCCTTCCCTTCCCTTCTCTTCCCTTCCCTTCCCTTCCCCTCCCTTCCCCTCCCTCCCTTCCCCTCCCTTCCCTTCCCTTCCTTCCCCTTCCCTTCCCTTCCTTCCCTTCCCTTCCCTTCCTTCCCTTCCCTTCCCTTCCTTCCCTTCCCTTCCCTTCCCCTCCCTTCCCTTCCCTTCCCTGCCTTCCCTTCCCTTCCCCTCCCTTCCCTTCCCTTCCCTTCCTTTCCCTTCCCTTCTCTGCCCTCTCCTTCCCTTTGGTCCTCTCCATTTTCATCCCTTCCCCTCCTGTCCTCACCTCTCCCCTCCCGTATTCTCTCATCCATCCCCTCCCACACCCTTCTCTCCCTTCTCTGTCTCTCCCCACTTGCCTCTTTTTCCTCTGTCTTCCTCTCCTCCCTTTCCTTCCCCTCCCCTTCGCTGCAAATCTGCTGCCCCTTAGCCTCTGCCACCCCCAACCCCTGTGAATCCTCAAATTCCCACCTGCTGCTGTCTGGTGAAATGCCACTGCTTTTTCTTGGGAGATGTGTCTGTACCTCTCAAGGCTGGGTTAGAAGGTGTCTAAGTCCTTGCAGCTTGTGGCGCCAGAGTATCTCCTCTTGCTGGTTTGCTAACCCTCGTCCAAATCACCATGGTCTCCCGTAGGACACTTGGTCATTGGTGCCAAGCTGCACTCCCCTATCTCCTCCTGATCATCTGGCCTCCCCAGCCTGGCTCTGGCCAGAGCAAGTCCCTGAGCAGAACCAAGGTGGCCAGGCAGAGGGACCAATGTCTCTTCCCAGGGGTTGCATCTCCTGCAGCCCCAAGAGCACCTTTAGAATGGCGACCCTCCAAACACAAAGCTAAACCCAAAGGGTCAGAGAGGCAGGGCGGTGGGGGCTTCTGACTGGGCATTTCCAGCCAGGTCTCCTTGGTTGTAGGGTCTTTCTCACAAACCACTGTAAATAGTTTTTGGCACACAGGGGCGAGGGAGCAATGCTGGGAATCAAACCCAGGATCTTTGCACTGGGCTCCACCCCCAGCCCTTTAATACTGTTTATTTTGCTACGTTGAGGAGGGGGACCCTTACAGGGGACTTCTAGCATCCTTCTTCAGTTCTAGCACTGGTTCGGCCAAGGCAGAGGAGTAGGTCCTGACGTGGTGGTGGCTTCTGTGTCTCTCCTGTCGGCGGGCCAGGTGCCGAAGTTGCTTCCGAATGGCCCACAGCACCAGGTACACCTCTCGCAGCAGCTCGGCCTCGGGCGTGTCCAGAGGGGACGAGGTCCTCAACTGGGAGGAAATGGAGGCAGAGCTGGCAGATGGCTGTAAGAGAAAGAGGATCTGCTCACGCACGTAGCAGGTGGAGCCACCAGCAGATAATCCGCAGGGGGCTCCGCTAATTCCTCCTCTTCCAGCAGGGCAGCTCAGGCACTGTCTCTTGCAGGAAGCTTTTTCTGCCTGCATTAGGAGTTCATCTTCTAGTGTGTGTGTATGTGTGTGTGTGTGTGTGTGTGTGTGTGTGTGTGTGTATGAGAGAGAGAGAGAGAGAGAGAGAGACTGGGGATTGACTCTCCAGCCCTTTTCATTTATTTCATATTTTGAGATAGGTTCTCCCTAGGTTGCCCAAGCTAGATTCAGGCTTGTAGTCCTCCTGTCTCAGCCTCAAGTGCAGGAATTACAGGTGTGAGCCACCATACCTGTGGTACCATGTTTCATACAGACTCAGATTTGTCCCAAGAACTCAACTCTTTTCTGCACTAGGAAGCAATACCTGGAAGACAGGGACCAGTTTGGACCCATGAAACCCAGCCCAGGGTTTCATGGAGAGTGTGCTAACATGCAGGAAGAAAGGATGACACTTGATCTCTAGGCTGAAGCTCTCTCCTGACCTCAGGCCCTTATATCCCACTGTCTCCAGGACACCTTCATGCACTGTCCTACCAAAACCTCAATTTATCTTGTGCCAGGGCCCTAAACTTATCACTTTGTCCCCAAAGTCTGCTCCTGTTCCTTCATTCTCCAGCCTAGTGACTGGCTCCAGCCTACCTGGCCTCTGTCTCTCTCCTCCCAGTCCATCACCTGACCCAAAAGCACTCCTCTTCAACAGTGCTCAAATCTATTCACTTACTCTGCCCAGTGATGCCTCCCCAAGCCCAGAACAGTTTTCTTTCTTAACCTGGACTGCACCAGCCTCCAGTGGATCTTTTGGTCTCTTCCCTTGCCCCCTGCTGACCACCCTCCCCACCCCACCCCACCAGGTGATTTTTTTTTTAGTGATAGTGGGGCTGAAAACTGGGATGCTCTCCCATTGAGCTACAACCCAGCTGCGCTCCACCCCTTAAAACGTTTTTTTTTTTTTTTTTTGAGAAAGATTTTTGCTACTAAGACTAGGCTCAGTTTTGAGATCCTCTTGCCTCTGCATCCCAGGGTACTTCGATTTCAGGTGTGTGCCATCATGCCCAGCTGCCATACTGTAGAGTGGCTCGCTATCTCTCACTCTTACTAACCATGTGAGATTTCTCCGTCAAAACTCAGTCATGTCACTCCTTGCCTCAAATATCTTCCATGGCTCCCACAGCACTTAGGATCCAGTTCAAATTCCACAGCTTGGTCATCCAACCTGCCTGGTGCCAGCTGGTCCCTGGTGCCAGGTTCCCTCCAATCCCCTCACTTGTGGGGCCAGCTCTGCACACCCCTGTTACTCCTCTCCATGGAACATCCCTTTCTTTTTCCTCCACTTCCCCTAAAAATACCCCTAAGCCAAGTATTTCTTCGGGTCCGAGCTTCCCCCTTCCTCCAGTAGGAAGGCCGTCTGACTCCCCAAGGCTGTTTGAGGTGCCCTTCTCAGGTCGCCCCAGACACCTCTACTTCCTGTATACACTCTCAGGATACAAGTGGCAATGCCTATTGTCTGAGGTCCCCAAGCCCGGGCAAACCTGGTTCTTCAATATCCTCAGCATCTGGCAATAGAAAAGCCCAGGACCAGGGAGGAGAGGGAAGAGACAGCTGCCGGGGTTGAGGATGGATGGGGACTCACCTTCCACCAGCACATTTGCCAGCTGGACTGCAGGGCAGAGAGCATGATCATGGAAGCTGACCGCACGGCCGTCCGGGGCACCCGCAGCAAAGAGCGGCTCTTGTGGCTCAACCCAATCCGGGTCCTGTCTGTGGAACTGGCCAGCACAGAGGGCTCAGACACTCCAGAGGACTGCTGCTCCCTGGGGAGCTTAGCTTCTCCAGGGGACTTGGTCAACTTGCAAATCTCCAGCTGTGGGGGAGTCTTCCCCACCCCCTTCAACGTATGTTTCTTAGAGCCAGAGTGTTTCAAGATGGCCTGCTTCATTTGGCATTTCCAGAAGCCAACCTAAGAAACAAGACACGGATGGGATGGGGGGGCAGAATGGGACAGAGGCGGTAGTCAAGAGGAAAGAGGCCCAAAGGGAGGGAGCAGCAATTTCCCAGCCTCTGCCTCAAACCCTCCCGTCCATTGTCTCTCTCTATCTCTTGTCTCTGTCTCTCTCTCCTCTTCTCCCCCACGCTTTCTCTCTGTTTCTTCTACTTTTTCTCCCCCTTCTCTCTCTTCCTCCTCCTCCTCGTTTACAGTGTTGAGAATTAAACTCAAGACCTTTGCACTGAACTACTGAACTACATCTCCAGCCTCCTTTTTATTTTTTAAAGACAGTGTCTCACTGGGTCACTGAGTTGCCCAGGCGGGTTCCAGCTTGCAGTTATCTTCCCTTGGCCTCCCGGAGTGCTGGGGTTATGGGCCTCCCCCTCCAGCCTGTTGTCTCTCTTATCCCCTCACCTCCTCCCGCCCTGTCTTGTTCGCCACAAGAGTCCAGGAGGAGAGGAACAGTGTAGTGATCATTGACCAAGACTCTCATCTCAGCATCGTGAGGACCAGACAGTGTGTGGAACTCACCCAACAGGCCATCCTTTGCCAAATCTGCCTAAAGAACTTGAAGAACCGCCCGGCCACACCCATAACTACAGATATGATTAGGAGCAGAGCAGCCTTTGGGGTGGGCAGAGAGACAGGCTGCTGGCCAGTGGCAGCCACCCAAAAGGTCTTGTGGGAGCTTAGGCGTTTCAAGCACACCAGTGAAGGAATATAAAATCCAGGGGGATATTCCCTCCAGCACCTTGTCCCGGGCCCTTCCTCCCCGCCCTGGGACAGCAGAAGAGTCCCAGTGGTTGAGAACCCTGAGTGAGGTAGAGTTCTAGCCCATTGTGAGGCCTCCAAATCCAGAGGCCCTTCCAAGACTCATGGGGCAGATTGCCATGGCCTAGACCCCTCCTGCTCTAGATCTGGGGAACGAAGCTGTTATATTGGTGGAGGGCTTAGTATGTGCCAGGCATTTCCCACGCATTGTGCCATGTAATGTTCTGAGATTCAGAAAAGCTGGAGAGCTTGCTGTGAGTCATAAATCTAGGGCACTGGAAGGCCAGGGGTCCCACCGAGGAGGGCCTCTGAGTACAGCTGAGGCAGGAGGTCGGGTAAGGCAAAGCTGGCCGGAGGAGTGGGCGGGACCTGTCAATTTCAAGATCCCAGGGCGAAGCCAGATGGTTTGCAGGATCTCTTTGTGTAGAGAACGTCTCAGAGCTCCCCGGAGATGTGGACAGCATAAAGAAGACCGGACTCCAGGAGGCGCTCCGCGTCCTGACTCTTCGCGGTAGCCTGTCCTGGGTCTCCCAGACCCGGAGTGTACTTCTAGTTTCGCTCTTTTTTTCCTCCTTTCTCTCTTTGTTTGGTCCAAGTTTGCTCTGCAGAGCTTGTTTTTCACGCCTCACCCCTCATTGTCAAATAAACTCTTGACACCTTTTTTGGTTTGTCTCGTCCAGTTCTTTAGCGAGCCATTTTTAAAGGAACTATCCGACAACACCGCAACCGCGACAGCTCTCAACGCTACTGCACCCCTCAGGGTCCCCCTCAAGGCTGTGGATGCTGCTCCCCGCTTGCCCACTAGATGGGGGCCTTCTCCCTGGCTGCTCTCTGCCCCAGCCCAGATTGCCAGGGAGGCGCCTGCCTCCCTACAGAGTCCATCTTCAGACAGCTGCCAGTTGTCCAGGTGATCCTCGAGTTGGAGGCCAAAGTTCAAAGCCAGCCTGAACTACATAGCCAGACCTTGTCTTAAATTTTTTTTTTAAATTATGAAAATAAGCTAGGCATGGTGGTGCATGCCTATAATCCCCCCACTCGGGAGGCTCAGGCAGGAGGATCATTGTGAGTTCGAGACCAGCCTGAGCTACATAAGCGAGGTCAAGGCCAGCTTGAACTACATAGTGAGACCCTATCTCAAAAAAAAAAAGAAGTCCTACTCAGATGGTGGCAGAGTGCACTCCTTGCCCATCTACATTCTGAGTACATGGTGTTCCCTCTCCATGGACTCTTACTGACCACAAAACCTTGACCTCTCCAGAGACCCACCTTCAAGGTCACCACCCACCTGCCTCTCCGCATGCTTTCTTTTTTTACAGTACTTAACACGACCTGAAATGATTATTTGTTCACCATGTTAGAGAAATGGAAAAGTTGTAAGAATAAAAATGGAGTCACTTGTGTCAAGCCTAGCAACAACAAAGTAAACAAATCCAGGAGTTTACGAAGAAAAGGTTTTTTTACACATGTCTGCTAGTGACTGTCACAAAAGACCCTTCCAGGAGCACAAGTTTTCATAGGTGTCATGGAGACCTTATACAAAAAGCACTTCTACAAGGACATCTGCTCAGCAACTGTCTGTTCAACCTCAGATTGATGCCGTGTTATCAGTTACCGTGGCCTGGGATTATTGTTTCAAAGTATCTGATGTCAACCTTCTCATTTTTGTCTTTAAAAACTTCTCCTTGCCTCAACCTCTTTGAATATAACCACAATTTACTATGGCGTTTACTATGGTGCTTGTGTTCCCATTGCAATGCGTTGCTACTTACTGCCCAATAAATATCAGTATTCTCTGACCAAAAAATGATAATGTTTATTCTGTTTATTACATGGTTATTGCTGCAAATGATTTTGCTATATGGAGGAGGATGTCAAAAAAATCATTCACTTCAGTAGCAAATATGCTCAATATGCCACAGCATAGAGAGGGCCTTAGAGAGAATCTAGCACAAGCTCCTGGGTCTCTACCACGTGGGATGTTACCCAAGGTCACCAGCTAGTCAGTAGCAAAGGAACTAGACGAAGTCTTCAAGCCTTTGCTGGATCACATTTCCCATTATTTGCTTTCCAGGTAACTGAAATACTGTTGCAGGGTTGGTGCTTCTCAAACTGTAATGAAGCACCACATTAAAAAAAAAAAGCACATTTTAGAACTCTGTTACAGACTGGTACTAATACATACCTCAGACTCCCTGTGACTCGTGCTAAGAGTCCAAATGGTCTCTACACTGTTTAATAAGAGACACCCACTGATCACATCCTTCAACACATCATTGATGTCAGGTTGCTCTGAAGGATTCTAAACTTCTACTTTCAGCTTCTGCTCCTTTCTTGTCCCAGATTAGTGAGTTTCCTGCCCAGCTTTGAGTGACTCCCCCTATATCATACTAGGTTACTAGCAAGGACTTCTGGCAAAAAAAAAAAAAAAATCTTGAATATCTATTACATAAGCAAATCTTAGCCTTTGTTGAATTCCTGAACATATTCTGTAAGGTTAAGAGTGCAGGTTCAAATCAGCAATGGTGTATTAGCTTTCCGCCACCTCAGCAAAATACCTGACAATAATAATTTAAGGGAGGAAAAGTTTATTTTGGCTATAGAGGTTGTAGTCCATGGTAGATTGGCTTCATTGCTTTTAAGCCTGTGATGAGAGAGACCATGACAGGGGTTGGGAAGCATGTGTGCTGGCAGATGCACCACCCACATTAAGGGTGGATCTCCCCTTCAGTTTTCTGAGGCTTCACATCTCTGGAAACACCCTCACAGACACACCCAGAAGTGTGTTTTACTAATTTCCTAGGTGTTTCTCAACCCAATCAAGTTGACTAGATTAAACATCCATCAGTACTAATTGTGTGGCCCTGGGCAAATGCCTACATTGATTTCTTTTGTTTTCTGTTGTGGTATTGGGATTGACTCCAGGAAGGTCTGAATTACATCACCAGCCCCTTTTTATTTTTTATTTTGAAGTAAGGTCTTGCTAGCCAGGTATGGTGACCCACACCTGTAATCCCAATACTCAGGAGCCTGAGGCAAGAGGATCACAAGTTTGAGATCAATCTAGGGTACCTAGTGAGTTTAAGGTCAGTGTGGACCATTTAGTGAGATTCCATCTCAAAAAGAAAAGTCTTCTTAAGTTGCCTAAGCTGGCCTCAAACTTGACTTAGCCTCTTGATTGCTTGTTTTGTTTTCTTGAGACAGGGTCTCACTATACAGTTGGAGCAGTTCTTGAACTCATTGTGTGGCTCAGGTTCCCTCAAACTCATGGCAGTCCTCCTACCTCAGCCACCCAAGTGCTGAGATTACAGGTATGCACCACCACGCCTGTCAACTTGGCCTCTTGAATACCTAGGATTACATGTGTGTGACACCGAGTCTGGCCTAGCACCACACCCCTTGCTTTTGAGACACACTGGCTATGAACTTCTGGACTCAAGTGATCCTCTTGCCTTAACCTCCCAAGTAGCTGCAATTATGCAAGCTACAAGTTGCATGCTACCAAACCTGAGTCCTAAGCCTCTTTGTGAGTTTCTTTACCCACAAAACCAAAGAACAGTAGCCCCTAGCTCAGAAGGGATTGTAGGGAGGTATGTGTATGTGTCTACTGGGGAGACTGCCACATGGTAAGCCCTCCTGAATATTAGCTATTACTAGTGGTATGGATCTTTCCCTTTTGGTTGTGGAATGTGGGTTCAGGCCCATGGGAATGCAGGTTTTCACAACAGAGTGACCACAACACAACACAGGGCACAAATAGCAGCAGGCCAGGAGTCAGAGTTCTGAGCTCTGGCCCTGATTTCCGGTATCCCCAGTTGGGTCACCATGTTACCGGCACATTCAACAAGCAATGAGGGGGCCCTGTCTTGAGCCGGGTCTGTGCTGGGTGATGCAAAAGAATAGCTCTTGCCCTCGGAGTTCTCGCCTGGGGAGGGCAGCACGCAGGGACACTGACAGCATACAGCAGGTGTCTACACAGAGTCACAGCGGTGCACAGAGGGGCCCCATCAGCTCCTGTGGGAGTGTCTGCGCCTGTCACCTGGGGTTTCTGAACTGGAACCCACGAGCACACCAGAGTTAGATTCCTGTGATGGGGGCACCTTCCTCGTCTTTGCTTTCCTCGAGGAGAGGTTTCCCCTGTCCTCTGGCCTGTCCTGGCTGCGTTACTCACATTGAGGTGAGTAGTCCCTTGGGTGGTGGGGGAACAGCTGCTCTGTGCTGCTGGGCACGGCCTTGTCTTCTCAGGAGTGTCCTGGACAAGGGCAGGAAGCTGTCCTTCTGTGCTCCTGCCCATCTTTGGCCTTATGGGGAGGCTGCACAGCCATGATGCCCACCAGTGGGTAGGGCTTGGCCACCCTGGTTTTTGTGCTGCTGGATTATATCTTCCAACTTCATTTATTTGTTATCAGTGATAAAGGTATATTTGGGACCACCTGCTGAAGTTTCTGACTTATTTCTCAATAAGTATAGATCTTGGTCAGGACAGAGAGGGGCTATTTTGGGTTCCTTCAGTGACCCAAAGGACATTATGCACCATCACACAGACTAAAGGCTCCTTGCTACAGGTCCCACGATGATGTTGACATGTTGTGGTCTGTCCTCCCGTGACGTGCACAGTAGCTTTTCACTGACACTGGCTGAATAAGTGAGCAACTTCTGCAGGGGTAGAGGTAGGAGCGGCACCAGGAAACAGTACAGAAAAGGGGAGCTTGTCATCCAGACTTGGACGGATGAGGAAGTATGTGGTTCCTCAGGTGGATGATCAGAGTGGGCCCGCTGAGTAATAATCAGAGTCTCCAGCTTTCTGAGATACAGCTGCTCCATCTTGAGCAGAGAGAACGGTCCTTGCCTTCCTCACAGGGTGCTTGGGAGTGTGACACGACCTTCCCCAGGCAGAAATGTTGGAAAAACTAATCGGCTGTGCAAATTATTATGTAATACGCATCCCCCCCGGCACAAAGGGGGTTAGAATGAAATTTTTTCCAAGTTGATGAATTCTTTTAATTTTTTTTAATCACCACTGCAGATATAGCTCAGC